AGGGTAGGGTTTTTCAGCCGTTTTAGTGATAAATAGGGTATTGATTTTGGCCATTTTGGTTATAAATAGGGTATGGTTTTAGCACTCTAGTCTTTAATTGGGTATATTTCTTACAAGAAGCTACTTTTTCTTCATTTTCAACAAGAATGTCAACAAAAGCCCTTCATAACTTAAGTTTAAGGCAACTGCGCCAGCCGCAACGGTCATAAATAGGGTATTGAATTTTTGGCCAGGTCATAAATAACGTAGGAAAAATTACAGATTTTGGTCATAAATAGGGTAAGGGTTTTGGGAAGTGGGCCACACAGCCCCACCTAACTTTTCTGGGAGTTAAAACACCCCCAGGGTCGAACCCATGATAAATTCTCCTTTCTTCATAGAAGGTCGATTAGCACATTAAGGCAATATTTAAAATTTACACAGAGAGTGTACATAATGAAAAAATAAGTGATTTTTGTTTATGCATCCCTTCAATTACAAGGCAGATAACTATAGGTGATGTAAGGTAGGTGTAAATTAGGTTTGACTGCATAATAAAATGCAGCGAAGTTAAGTGTAAATTAGTTCAGTGACTTCCTCTCAACAACCCTCCTAGTTAGAAAGTCTCTATTTAAGTACCTATGCAAGTATTTATGAACTAACCATCAGGATCTGACTTCAAACTTGGTGTCACAGTTGAATAATTTGTAGGTGTACCAGCTGAAATTGATATTTAAAGCAAAATAATGTGAGCACAGGCGACCTCATCCCTAACTCTATCTTACCTAAATGACGTAATGTTATCTATTATTTAAGCGGAGCTTCGGCGGCCCTTATCCGGCGAATGGAAGGGCCGACAAGCAGAGCACCATAACTATAAGAACAGTATAGAAAATCATGCAACTCTTTTTCCATGGTCAAGAGGCCAGGGCAAGCGGCATGGATTGTGGGAACATGTGCCCTATGATGATGAAAAACAATGACATCACACAACAGGGTGGCTATACATATGCATGTACCTCCAGCTAATGGGACAACCATTAGACATGTAGCCTTGGCTAATGGGATCTAATTCATGGTAGGACACATAGTTTGCTTTTATTTATTGCCTTTTACTTGCGGTTAGCATTTATATACTGTGTTTGCTTGCGGTTAGCATTTATTCAGTACTGCTGTTTGCTTGCAGCGGTTAGCATTTATTTATTGCTGTTTGCTTGCGGTTAGCATTTATTTACAGCTGTTTGCTTGCAGTTAGCATTTAAGGGGTGTAGGGGAAGGCATGCAACTAAATGTGTCCTACCATGAATTATATGCCCTTGGCTTTGATACTCATGGATATTCATGTTATGGTTATAAGTGACATCTGTCAAAACATTGGGTTTCTGCTGACCAGTACTACGTGACCATATTGTGGGCACAGGTTTAGACCTCATGGATGTCACATAATTTTTTGTAAGTTTACCACTGAGTAAGCACTGGTTTTCGATTGGATCCCAGGCTCAAGCCAGGTTAATTTATTGTAATCAGTAATGACTGCATGGCCCCAAAATAATTGCATTTGGGATTAACAGTGAGTTCTGTTTCCCTGAGACCCTCTGAATGTTCTCCAAGGCAAAGCTGAGTGGAACATCGAGGTCAAGAAGAAGCTAAACTCACTGTTTCCTGTGGAGCCAGAGTCATTATTAAGTGTTTAACGTTATACCTCCTTGAACACAAAAAATACATTACAAACTGCAAAAACATCATTTGTTGACGCTGGCCGGCACAAGAATGCCTTGGTCTCAAAATGCAAGGTGCATGCCCTGATCACGACTGAGTCAAAAGTTCAATAGTTGTTATAGTTGTTTCCCTAGCTACAGATCAAGTTAATTTTAATTTGTTGGTGAGTTTTGTGTGCCCGAGTCAAACTAGGGAGTTAGTGAGTTTTGATCCAATTGACCATTGTAAGACGTTTTCCACCTAATGAAAATGTCTTTGAGTTGCCGGGAGGTATAACAGTGATATGTATGTATCATCAAAGATTTTGAAAACTGAATTAAAACCCAAAACTTGTCAAAACTTGGCAAATAAGCTATAGCAATGGACAATTTTTTTATTTTAAAGTTGGACTTTAAAATGATGATCCAAGCTGCAGAGTACTAGTGGGACAGTTGATCAATACATTTCACAAAACAAAATATTTATTTTTTTACATGATCAGTACCTGGAGGATTTTCCGTCTTCTCTGAAGGACCTGGGTCAGGACTTGGAGTTGCTGGCAAGCCAAGACTTTGTGATGCCTGTGTAAAGCTGATGCTATTTAAAGCTGAACCCTGTCCTACAAATGAAATATATATTTCAACATTTGTTCTCAGCATGTAATCTAGCTATTATTAGTTGAATATTTAGAGTTAAGAAAAGCCAACATGTCCAATTTAAGGTGTTTTGATTCTAATTTACTGGCAATTGGTATAAATATATTAACTGAGTGCAAGTATATCAGTGTCCAGTTAGATGGGTTTCAGATTACTAATTCTTAATGGTACTATGTCGTTCAGCAGGTCATAATGTTTCCTCTCATAAATTAATATATTGCCCTTTACCATAATTTGTGAAGGGCTTAATTTAATTAATTGTTGATATTCTTTTCGATAATGATGAAAAAGTAGCTTGTTCTTAAGAACATACCCTTTTGAGACTAAAGTACAAAAACCATACTGTGTTTATGACCAAATTAGAATCGATACCCTATTTATGACCAAAACGGTTGAAAAACCATACCTTTTGGGACTGCACATGTACCTATATAACCCATATAAGGGAGAAACCCCCACCGGTACCCCCAGCCCCTGAGAGTAATTACTGAATTATTACCCATGTATGATCAGTTTATTTTCATTTGGTTACACTGGGACTTGATCAAAGGGACTAACACCTGTTTAAAATATCCCACAAAACGTGACAGACAGAGAGAAATAATTCCAATAATAAATTACTCTTTAAATGAAGAAGCCCTGCGACAACTTCACAAAGTGGTTTACAGAAGGGCCTCAAGTAAGGTAATAAAAAATTAAAAATAATCAAAACAATGGCAGAACTAAATTAAAGAAAAAGATTTCGTACTAATTATCTTTAATAGTTAAAATTAATTTACATAATAAATATGCATGTGCTAAATACATGCTATTTTAATTTGGAACAATGAATTAATTAAAATTTTGCTTTGTCGGCAAGCCAATTGCTGCAGCTGTGGTGGATGTTTCTCGTAGATTAAATAGTGTCTACTAATCAAGGCATTTAAAACAAATGCCTGGATAAATTACAGCAAAGTTAAGAGTAGTCGAGACTGTCCCCATTTTCTAGGAGACTAGATTTACAAATGTACACAAATACTACACGATCAAGAATATAATACTACCAACTGATGGTTAACTGACATATACTTAAGAAAGCACCCGTAGATAATGGAGATTTTGTTAGCCTTTCAGGGTTCTTAAAAGAACCCTGAAAGGCTAACAAACTCTCCATTAAGTGTGGGACTGATTTTTCTGCAAGAGATTTAAGTACAATTAATATTTAGTCATTATTTTAAAAGCTTAGGACTGAGTTGCTCACTACAGGCAATTTTTACCCCATCTGTACCGTGGATAATGGAAATTAGGACTAGTAATCTTTTATGCAAGAGATTAATTTGTTTCAATAAAAAAATATGAATAATTGTTTATATTGTGTGACACCTGTAAAAATGTCTACTGGATGCTAATGAATCCTGGCAAATTACAATTATATGTAAACTTTCTGAAAAAACAACAACAACAACAACAACAACCCAATGAGCTTATAGCAGGATCAAATTACATGCATATGGATATATATGCAGATTGGCTGTTTAATGTCCAAGAGACATACTCATGTCATTGCAGATATTACCAAGCTAGTAAATGTAACTATTCAAATGAATATTGCTCTGCTGAATATTGGAACTTACTTGTTTCATAGTACACCAGGCGATAGTGCCCAGCTTCATGTCTTGTGACGTCATTTCCTTTCAGGCATCTCACCTCCAAATAGACTTCATCAAATGTTGGGTGGTTTGTAGTCATTCCCGGAATCACAATCTCAAGCTTTAAATGAAGCTTGAACTCATCATGGCCAGTACTTGTCACATTGCAGAGCAAAGAAACCTTTCCTAGCTGGAACGTCTCTCTGGTTTGGCTGGTTATGACCCCAATAATGAAGTCTGTTTTCAATTCTTGTTGAGGTATGGCAGCCAATCTACTAGGGGATTCATTTCCCGCCTCCTTCATCAGTATAAGAACATTTGCTTCAGAGTAGTCACAACGTGTCTTAGTCAGTGGCATGCTGTTGGCTACCATCAGAGTGTAATTTGTTCTTTTAGGAACATATATACTTTTATAATTCTCTGATTCTTCTGCAGTAGCTTGACCTGAAAGATACAAAACAGCAAGTTTCAAGCTACAATTTAAGATTCAACTACATTATCAAGAGTACAACTGCATGATGATTTTTTAAGTGAAATAAAATAATGGTAATAATAATATATTTTTTTGTTTAAAAAAAAAAGATTAATTAAAGGCTCAAAAGAGTAAGAATAGGCCCTTTGCAGGATACGGGCACATGGTACAGAATTAATTACACTGGGACGCAAGTTACGCAGTGGGACTTCCAAAACAAAGCAACTCGTACCAGTCCAGCCCGACTTTCCTTTGTTTTGGAAGTCTGTGTAACTTGCGTCCCATCGTGATTAATTCAGTACCATGTGACCGGATCCTGCAAAGGGCCTATTAACTATTACTATTTGCCCCACAAATTAGCATATATCATCTAGACTGAAGTCAGCTTAACTAAAGTTTAGGCTTGTAAATTTAACACAGTCGAACTTGTACTTACATTGGAAATTGGCCGCTTAATACAGGGCCTTTAAAAAAGGTTCCACTGTATAAAATAACGTACAAAGCCAAAACTCTTGCTAGGGATTAACGATCCTTGTTTGGTTTCAGAGAATTCGTTCGAGACATATGTTACTAGTGTGGTGATGACTCGAAG